GTACCTAATTTTGGACCAGAATGACGACTACTTTTTTGACTTATTAACAGTCAGTCAATTTTGGCGCCCAAATACTGCCATAACAATTAATGTTAGATTTGATTTAAGCGATGAACAAATCTTGCCCTGCTCCATATTTTCTGTGCCCAAGAAATAATCAGAGTTGCACGGCATCGGTTCGGTTCGGTTTGAATTGAACCTGAATTGATGGTTTTAATCGGTTGTTTATTTTGTGAAATAACAATTAAAAATTAAACCAAATAATATTTTGGTTTTTTGGTTCGGTCACTAAATTAATTGGTTCGGTTGACATCGGTTTCGGTTTTGACCGATTGCAACCTTGAACCCTTAGCAACTTTTTTTTTTTTTTTTGGATTTGGGCCTTTCGTTTTCTGGCCCAAATATTTACTGAACACTTTGTGATCCATTTCTTTTAATTTTATGATCCAATTTATTTGTGGATCAAATATCCAAGCAGCAAAACTAGCAACCCATCACTTTTATCTATCTTTGGTATGAGAATTTAAATTAAACTTCATTGTGTTTCCTTTTAGAAAACAATTAACCATATACATAATTTAAAAAAGAAAAATAAAAGGTAACAAAAATAGAATTCTGGAGCTGGAAACTATCATTAACTGAATCAAATTTCAGATGAAACAATACCGAATTTAATTATGCTTTGTTAACAATCAGACCATCAAAAAACTAAAAATAATAGGAGGTTAAAGAGATCTATAATGCCAAAAAATCACATAATTAAAAAATTCAATCCAATATAGCATAACTTACTTTCTCTAATAGTTGTAAATTAAACAAACCACATGCATGTTAATTGACCAAAGTCAAACACCTCATGGTTTCTTGGTGAGAAATTTTTTTGTATAAACAGAACTAGAACTTTCCCTGTATCATCAATTGCTAGAAACTTAATTAAACTAATTTGATTTTTCCCTTAAAAATCTCCAGAATTTTCATCTAAAACCAAGTCGATATTACTATGATGAGGCGCAGGACGGGCGGCAGTGGAATGGAGTGGTGAGAACGCAAGATAGTGGCAGAGTCTGTTGGGGATCTTTAGTTGAGAGGCAACTTTAGTACAGCTAGAGAGAAGGCGATGGCTTCCTAAAGAAATTACTCAAATTAGTTGGTTGGAATGAGATAAAATAAAGGGACACTAGCTAGCCAAAGAAACCCAGTTTCCGGCAATCAATGGCGGTGGCAGGCTGGCAACTAAAGAAATGCTTTAATAATAATTACATGCATTTAAACTGTAAAATCTGTTCAACAAAAAGAAAAATAGAAATCAAAACTCAGTACACATATATATAATACAGAGAGAAGGTGTGAACTTGAAACATGCAACTGTAGCCGATAATTGATGTAACACACCTCCCTAGGCACCCTTAGTCCTAGAAGAGTTCGGAAACAAAATTTATAATAAAAGATTGCAGCAGAAATAAAAACACTTTTGAAAAAGAAGATCATAAATACCTGTAAAGGAAAACCACTTTAACAAGTCGATATATATATTGAAAAAGTGCCAAAGTATTCAAAGTTGTAAAATAAGCCAAGTTAAGTTCATTTATAATTAATTTAAAAGTTTTATACATAAAGCTAATTTACACAAAAATTATATGAGGCAAATTTCTTCTCCAAAGCTTTCAAAAAAACAAAAGCTGAGTCATGGTTTTGGTAAGATATCGATCTGCCTCCCTATCAAAAACACGAGGCCCTAGCTTGTACATACAACGAACATGCGAGTCCCGTACCAAAAGCTCCTAAATCGAGATGCTGCTACCTCGATCTACTGATCTTAAATGGGGGGGGGGAAATTTTATGAGCTCACAGCCCAGTAAGTAATAAGTTTAAGCTATAAACTTGGGTCCTAATACCCTTAGACCTATCCACACAAAAAGCATAAGACACAACGGAATCAAATCACATAATACTATAATTCTCACTATTTAAATAATGATTTAATATCTCAAATCATGAGCACAAATGTCAAGTAATAATTAATGACATTTAAATTAAATTCATATACTAAAATCATATGCTCACAAATATGATGTCACAAGCGCAATGCATAAAATCGAAAATCACACAATGCTATGGAGTCCACTGAAGTGTGCTAGCAACACTGTACTGGAGCTAATCACAGTACTAACCCTACTGCGCAGAGGTCCACTGAATACCCCGAAGGGTCCACTAAATACCCCAAGCTTTAAGCTCAGGTCCACTTACTCCATAGCCACAAACACATACACATGTCAAACAAATTCATAATATGTCCAAAATAATATTAGGATTTCCTATTGAAAGAAATCAAAGCATAATGCGTGAACAGTGATCATGAACAGTGATCATGAACAGTAATTGTGAACAGTAATCATGAACAGTATTTCGTAATTTCCTTCTAATTCCTGCAGCAAAATCACACCCAAATCAAACAATAGAAAGGACTAACTCACTATCTTTGCCATATAAA